GAGAGAGAGAGAGAGAGAGAGAGAGAGAGAGTGAGTGAGTGAGTGAGAGAGAGAGAGAATATTGTCGGAATTTTCTGTTTTTGTTTTTGAAGAATATTATTCGCTGAATATTTTTGTCTTTGTATTTCCATGCCAAGTTGAGAAAAAGAGATGAATAATGCGTTGAAAAATAATGTAATCAATAATCAAGAATATTGAAAAATAAAAATGACGAAAGAAAAAACGAACGAAGAGTCATATGAGACCAGTAAAGAAGAATCTTTTAAAATAATGAAAAAATGTATTATCTTTAATCGCTCAATAATAATGCAGTTTATAGATGATACGCAATGAATTTCGCGAAAAATTGTGGAATACGTTTCTCATCAGTGCCAAGTGCGATCTACTTAGCATCGTAAACATTACTCTCGTGTCTAGATTGTATATATTATCCGAGATCTTTCCATTATACACTAAGAGACAAGGATTACTTGACGCTTTCGGTATTTTTCATTCAACTAAATTAAACATCAGAAATGGTTGCATTAGAATTCTTTCGCGTGTCTGAATGACAGAAATCATATAAGATTTATTTATAAATTATATTTGTTATAAATTAACGATTATATCAGTCGCCAAAACGATTACTGAATCATCATCGAACATCTTGTAGCAAAACAACTTGTCAAATCAAATGAAAGAAACTTGATGTAACGAAATAATCGGATGGGTTTTTTTTTCTTTTTTTTTTCTTTCTTCTAGCTGATTATACGTATTTGTGCATCTTTGTGCATAATCAGTTCTTGTCGTTTACTATTTTTCATATTATTAATGCGTGAACTTTGTATATACATATATATATTCTATTAACGCATTATTACATCTATCTGAATCAAGATTACTTTTGCAGAAATATTTTTATAATTTTTATAATTATATATATTAGTTAATATTGTTATATGTGGATTATTTGACAAATCTAAATAGGTATACAACAAGTATGTTTACAACAAGTAGCGGACAAATGAATGATATAGTTATTTCGAAGTGAGAATCTGAAATTAATTCTTGCGAGAAAGAATTTACATTGAAAACATTTACAACTCTCCAAACGGTACCATGTTTGCTGATACCGAAAGGTCAAAGATCAATAGCAGATGTCTTTGGTGGATGGATCGATCTGCGCATAGAAGAGCGCTGGATGTTTCGCGGAGCGTACACACACCACTGGAACACACATTCCGATCGTGCGAAAGTGCGTCTTCTCCTCTCTTCGAGGATTAGGCAAGTTTCGCGATTAGGCAGTGGGGAATGTGGAAGCGATAATACATAAGCTTGATACATTAACGAAACAAAATCATGATATATTATTATGATAAATTACTGTATTCCCCCCTTATATAACATATATAATTGCATAATACATGTCGATGTGTGTGTCTTACAGATTATGACACGGCCAAGTCGGTCGACTACATCAATAGGAGAATTTTACGGATGAAGCTGAAGAAGAACATCGTGGACGAAGAAGAGGAGGGCGAAAAAGAGAAAGAAAGCAAGAAAGACGCTACTTATCAGATATCAGACAGGCAAACGAGAACATCCAGCGTCGATAGAGCGAAGAGCACCTTTTCACAATCACGCCGGTAGCCAACAAACTTGAACACGCCGTCGCTCGGCGCATCCGATGCTGAACGAGAAACGGCTCGAGGACAACACAGTGGCGGACGGGGAACGTAATGGTAGCGCCGTGGTTACCGGCCCGGCGCTTTCATCGTCGTCGCCGTCGTGCACAGTGCCCTACATCGGCACCGACCAGGGCTACGTGTTCGAGGGTGGCGGTATGACGACGTTGCAGCAGCCCGGTGCAGTCGGTCGCGGAGGTATCGACTGCACCGGTGGCGGAGGAGGTCTCGGATTCGGTATGTCGACAGGGGGTTTGAGTAGTGGACTTAGTGGCGGGATGGCAGTT